ATCTATCAAGATCATATTTTGAGGTATCTAAGGGAAAGTTTAACTATTTAGAGTGATAAAAAATTGCTCTGTTTACCAATTAATATTCATTTTTACAATTAGTAATTCCTTTTCTTAACATCTCAATAGCTACTAATTGCCGTCTTGAAAAATCAAACTTCTCAACTTTAAATTGCTCTAAAAGTCAGCTATATGGCTTATCCCCTTATCGTTTAAACTGAAAAAATACATGGAAAAATGTGTGTGCTTGTGGAGTGAGTGGCTGTTGAATCAGCTGGCGGTGCATTGCACTGCATTGAAAAAGCCAGGAGACCGTGTAAACAGAGTTGTCGAGGTGACAACAGAGAAGAAGGTGGAACCTACCTGGGCCTCCACAAGATAACAGTGCTCCCTGCCTTATAAACTACGGCGTTCCTTCAAATATAGTGGGTATATGATATGAACCAACAGAAAGCAAATGAGTTTTGAAGTTATCTTCAATAATGGTTGTTTTTTTTTGAATGAAGAATTAGGCAGTTTGATACGAAAAAGATGTCCTACAAAAATCTACAGATTTCTCTAGAATCTAGAATAAATAGCATTCAAAGAGCTAGAATATTAAACTATGGATTTTAATGTACAGAAAACTACAGTTCCTATCCCATAAAAGTCGAACTGTTTCTGATACAAAATCAAGATGATAGTTTGCCTGAAAGATTAATGCCTTGCCCAGGTCTACAATAGCTACAATAGTATCTACATAAATAAATGAACATGCAGGTTGCTTTGTTGCACTTCGGTCTTGAGAGTGTGTATTTAATATGCATCTATTTGCCTTTCCCCTTATCTTTCAGTGCAAAGTGCAATGCTTTCCCAGTTCTTATCGTGCTAAGGTGGGTGGGTGCAGCTCACAGGTAGATATATCTGTAGATCATAAAGAAGTTTAAGATCCTTTAAAACATATATAATATTTAATTACTTAAGAGAAGGACTTTATCGTGAGTGCATCTTGAAATGGCTTTGCATGATAGATAGAAAGATAGAGGAAATTCCCCTATGATGTAAATCGAATTTCGCGCACATCGTAATAAAAATACTAAAGCCCAACAAATGGTCGCCGATTTTATGGTCATTTGGGGATGGATACGGTATTGTGGGAGAACTGGAGCTTCACATATACGAGTTCCTTGGCGAGACATCAAATTTCGTGTGGCGCCACCGCATTCCAACCCCTCCTCCCCAAAGAGCCAGCCCAGCCCATCCCAGCCCAGCCAGCCTGCACATGTCCTAGTCTCTATTCAATTTACGACGCTTTTTGGAGGGTCAGCTAAACTGATTTTGTTGCAAAACCCCGAACATGATGGCCTACTTAAATGCCAATAACAAGAAAATAAAACGAGAAAATATGGCCAGCAGCGAAGAAAATGTTCAATGCAGATAACACTGGTTGACAAAATAATGGAAACTGTTCAATAAAAAGTCTTTAAAGATCTAAAACTGAACTTTTCTAATAGTTTTTGTTTTTAAAATCCAAGATAAAATATATCTCTATCAAAGGCAGTAAAATATTGTCAGACTTCCCACTCAAATGGTAATTCTTTCTAGAAAGCAAACTAACAACCTTCTCCCATTGTTGACTAGTGTAATAAATTATTTGGTAAAGTGGATGGCAAAAATGTGCACCGGGGATCCACTAATTGATTTTGTCTTTCCCACCCTTGCCAGGCCAAAAGGGGGAAAATTGGGCTTTTCAGTGACCCTACAGTGAACACATACTATAGTATATATTATATTTTCGTACAAATATAATTAGTTTTTGGACTAGCTTCGGCTAGAAAGCCAAAACAGAGAGAGAGACAAACTTTGTTGTCTATCAAAATATTTTAGTGGGAAACTTTGGCATAATACAATTTTCCGTTTCCCTTTGGCATTAGCGAAACTGCGGAAAAATGTATTTCGTTTCGTTGTGTACCACATGGCGGATGAGTGAGCTTTGTCAGGTTGGTGTCGTTGTTGTCTCTGATCGATGGGTTTCTGTAATAATCAGTCTATATTTCGAAGAGGTGATCCATTTTGTCTGGGTTATGTCTTGAGATCATAGACCTAGGAAGTGTTTTTATCTTTGAAAGAAAGTCTTCCCTAGATGGTTTCTAAATTTCTAAATTTTAAATAAATCTTCTCCCTAACTCAACTTTAAACTCAAGAACATTTGGACCGTTTAACCCCCTTCACACTCACATTTTCCATAGCCAAAACTATTTCCAGAATATGAAAAAAAAAGGCCATAAATTATTTCAGCATGATTTTCCACACCCTTAATCCAGTGCAGTTCCTGGAGTTTTTCTTTTGAAACTATAAATGAATCCAAATCCAATCAGTTTAGTGGGCCATAAAAACAGTTTGATATGGCCATGTCTATACAGACACAATCGTACATTTAGTGATTTCCTTTCTTTTTGCTAAATATTTCTGTTTGCGTCATTTGGCTGATGCTGATGCTGATGCTCCTGCTGCTGCTGCTGTTTGCCGCTTTTGCATTTGGGTTTTCAAACCATCCAACCATCCATCCATTCTATCTATTGGGTTTTTCTCTCTTGCCTTAATTTGTTGCCGGGCGGGCGCCAGACGACGACGACGATGGCGAAAGCGAAAATTGGAAATTGAAATTTGATTGATTATATATTGCGAGAATGACGATGATGATGCTGATGACGATTAATGCGGAGCCCATGAAAGTGTTGCAAACCTAATTGCTGTCAATTGCTGGGGCGGCTAGCAAAATCAATCGAGAAATCGCAGCAAAAATTCACTTGCAATATATATATATGTACTATCTATATATACTATGTTCTTGTTGGGGCATCCGCTGATTGACACGGAACGTAACCTCCTCCTTAAGGCCTTTCATTTAACACAGTGCAATCTTGGCAAGAAACCTCTTTGGACTCTGATCTCCTTGAGGCAGCGATGCGAATGGTGGTGGGGTTGCCTGTCAATGGAAAACAAGTGGGGAAACACAAGAAATTGTCATGTTTTTTGTGTTCGCTATACAACGGACTTGGTCTTAGTTTGTTATTGGATAGATAAGATGGGATGTTTGCTTCTTTTTTTTTCCAATCATGGCATTTTATTAAGACCCCAAAATAATATTTGAAATAATTTAACAACTAGCAGCAGAAGCAGAAATTTATGTAGGACACATAAATACAATTTCCAAAATACGCACGAAATTCCCACTTGACGTGAATTTATAATGACAGCAATTTTTCGGGTTGCGTTGTGTTTTTTGGTTTTAATTTCTCTTTTTTTTTTTTTACACATGCTCTAGTAGTTTGTTTGTATGGCTTTTGTGGTGTGATGAACTTGCAGTCAGTATTTACACCTTGCATAATTCAGAAAAATGTTCGCCTGAGCACTTGGCGTGCCGCAAATAGAATTTTGGACAACTTGTGTGGCGGTAGATGAGGGTAGTAGTAGTAGTAGTAGTGCTAGTGTTGAAGCCATTAAGTGGAGGTGGAGGCGAAATTTGAAAATATTCACGTCTCATTATATTAATGTCGCTGCGAAAATGCAAATTCGAAATGCGCACATCAAAAATGATTCAAACAGCCCACCACATAAGCAAGCAAACAAACAAGCGGCGGCGCGAGCAAACAAATTGACAGCGAATCAACGTATAAGCCAACATACTGAATGGCTAACTGACTGAATGACTGAATGACTGACTGACTGACTGACAAACCGCTGGCAGACAAACAAAAGAAACATGTCTAATTGTCGGGAGTTCGTACGCTGGAGCCAACTGTTCAAACAACGAGGCTCTACAAGACCGACCTGCTGCTGGATGATTGCTCAACTGGCTGGGGGACACATAAGGAGTTCGTAGCAATTTGCACAGTTCGTTGGCATCAAGTGGCGTGCCAATTTCTTGACAGGATCAGTGGATAAACTACAAAAGATATTGGTCAAGACATGGCTTAAACTGTAAGAGAGAGATATCATGAGATCTTTTAGAGACACTACAGCTTCGGTTAGCTAGTCATCTGATTTCATGATAATATAGTTATGGTTATATCATAGAAAGTCATAGGATTTGGTTTTACCATCTTGCTATAACTTTTCGTGTTTAAATGGACTGATGACTGAGACACTTTGGCGACAACTTGTGACCACAAAAGGGTGAACTTGCCTCATCTCTAAAGCACACACACACACCTCGCATCACCTCACATACACCAACATATATATTACATCAGATACATCAGATTTTCTGGGCTGCTGCTGCTGGTGGTGCTCCACGATGTCTATAAATGTTTTCATGCCTAATTGATTTAACGTCTCGGGCATGGCCGAATATAGACATCGATCCAATGGCATCGGCAGCCAAATATTCCACGCTGCACTCGTTAAAGCCGGCTAATTACGGATTTTATATTTGCAAAATGAATTTGTGCATAATATTTTAATGAAATTAACGGATTGCCGCATACAAATCGCAATTAATCTGCCATCCGAAAAGAGCTCTTGTCACCAGCAAAACTTTTCCTGGCCATCTCATAATAATTATATTTTTGGGGCACCTCAAGTGCGTGGGTGGGGTCGTCGCGCTAGCGGGCAACAGGCAGCAAGTGGTAAAATTTTGCTGAACATTGATTGATTTTCACGCCAGCTTTTCTTTTGGGCTTGCTTATTTTTAGCGGATATTTTCAGCAAATGTGGAAAATGTTATTTTAAACGATTCCACCGCTGCCATTCGGCTTAGTCCGATGTCGATGCTGTTGGTTGGACATTTTCCCCTCCATTGGTTGCGTGCCATGCACACAGTCACCCATTTCCACATTTCCATACGTTTCCTATTTCCCATTTTCCATTTTCCAAAGCCGCCGACCCATTGACATGCAGCGCCAGCGCATTTTCAAGGTGACCTAATCCAGTCTACACTGCGGGAAATAAGAGGGAAAACCTTTTAGTAATAAAATATATTAAAAGTTATTAACAAGATCTCTCCTTTCCCCTTGCAGCCCCTGAACTTGGCGGCCGAAATCCTTTTGGCAGGCGTCGTAAGGAGCCGCTCGGCAGCGGCAGCTGCGGCGGCGCCGCATGGATCATGCCGTGAAGGCGACGCGCGGCCGCCCGCTCAACACGCTGCGCTTCGAGAACGACGAGCTGGAATGCCTCTACCAACGGTACACTCTCAAGCTCCAGCGCTTCTCGGTGCTGGGCGTGGTGGCCCTCGTCTTTGTCCTCTGCGGCGTGATGGCGGCCCTGTCGCTGACCTTCAATAATGCAGCCACCTTTCATGTAAGTTAATTTATGATTTTTAATGATTAAGAAAGTCCATTTAGTTCATGGATAATCTCCCCCCCACTTTAGAACATTTTCAATGCTATAGTTTGTGGGCTATTTGCGGTGGTGCTGGTGCTGCTGCAGTGCTCCGTGATTAAGGACCACCACCTGCCCACATTATGCTACGGAATCCTGCTCTTCACGGCCAGCATCTGCGTGGTGTCGATGCCAACGCTGGGCAGCGTTTTCCCGGTGGACACCAAGGAGGTGATGGCCGAAGGCGTTTGGCAGATCGTTTTCGTGGTCTTCCTCGCCTATGCCATGATGCCGCTGCAGATTTGGGAGGCGGTGGCCTTCGGCATTGCACTGCCCTCGGTGCACATTAGCCTGACGGTCTATAAGATATTCACGGATGCGTTACGCTACTTGGAATACAACCAATTGATTGCCAATATTGTCATCTTTATTGGTGTAAATGTGGCTGGTCTGGTGGTGAATATCATGATGGAACGGGCTCAGCGACGCACTTTCCTCGACACACGCAACTGCATTGCATCCCGGCTGGAGATCCAGGATGAGAATGAGAAACTGGAGCGTCTGTTGTTATCGGTGCTGCCACAGCATGTGGCCATGCAGATGAAAAACGACATCCTGTCGCCGGTGGCTGGCCAGTTCCATCGCATCTACATCCAGAAGCACGAGAATGTGAGCATCCTGTTTGCGGACATCGTTGGATTCACGGTACTCTCCTCGCAGTGCAGTGCCCAGGAGTTGGTCAGGCTGCTCAACGAGCTATTTGGCCGCTTCGATCAGCTGGCTCATGTAAGTTGGGCAAAAAGGGTTGAGATTTTCTTTTGATTTTCTAACTTATGATTTGTTTTCTTTGTTTTCATTCCAGGACAACCATTGTTTGCGAATTAAGATCCTTGGCGACTGTTATTATTGTGTCTCTGGATTGCCAGAACCTCGAAAGGATCATGCCAAGTGCGCCGTGGAAATGGGACTCGATATGATCGATGCCATTGCGTGAGTAGCTTTTATAATAAGCACGATTTTCCAATCCTAATGGTTAATTTCCTCTATAATTACTTAATGCACTTTCACTTTTAATTGTTTCTCTTTAGCACCGTCGTGGAGGCCACCGACGTCATCCTGAACATGCGGGTGGGCATCCACACGGGCCGGGTGCTCTGTGGTGTTTTGGGTCTTCGCAAATGGCAGTTCGACGTCTGGTCGAACGATGTAACATTGGCAAATCACATGGAGTCGGGTGGGGAACCGGGACGAGTGCATGTGACACGTGCCACCCTGGACTCCTTGTCGGGCGAGTACGAAGTGGAAGCTGGCCATGGCGATGAACGTTCCTCGTACTTACGCGACCATGGCGTGGATACCTTCTTTATAGTGCCACCGCCACATCGTCGCAAGGTGAGTGAAGTCGTTTGGAATCCTCTAATGCTATGCTTTTACTATATAAACATAGATTAAACTAACTTCTTTCCTTTATTTCCTTTACAGCCACTAATGCTCAACACGCTGGGCGTCCGTTCGGCGATTGGCAGTCGACGGAAGCTCTCGTTTAGAAACGTGTCCAATGTGGTTATGCAGCTGCTGCATACGATCAAGTTCTCGGAACCGGTGCCATTCTCTAACATTGCCACCGGATCGTTTCCCTCGGCGGCCAATGCTTTGGGCGGCGGGGTGGCAGTCGGTGGCGGCGTGGCAAGGGGAAGCACCTGCGAGGCGAATGCCGGAAGCGTTCAGGTTTCCGAGAAGGGATCACGCAAGGTAAGTGGTGTTTATACCGAAGATCAGCACTCAATCAAAGCCGACTCGGGAGTTTCAAGGTGGGAGTTGGAATTTGAAAGTTGGAAGTTGGAAATTGCGTGTTCCTGTAGCTCGGTTCTCTGTTTCTGTTTCTGTTTCATTTGTCGTAGTCTCCAAAAGTTCTGTGCATGTCCGGGTGGTTTACGATTGATTTCCCGGGATGATTGATTATGCGGGTTATGCGGGTTTCTTATTCGGTTGAAACAAGTGGTGGCGGCAGTGGTGGTTATTTGAGTTCTGGCTTGGTGTGCTTTTCATTTGATTTCCGTATTGTATCCGTAGCCCAGGGATACACACAGAATCCGATAGATATAGTCGCGGTTAGCTTGAAGACGGCGAGACTCCTTTTCATTTCTTGCTTTGATTTGTTTCCTTTCGTTTTCTTTCAGGATGCGGTAAGTTTGCCTCGCCCATGTCTAAGTACTATATATTTCGATATCCACCAGTTTAAAAAGCCTCTAAAAAAAACAAAAACCGTAACCATTATTTCTCAGTTGCGCTTTTTCCCTCGCCTCTCTCTTAAGTTTTTCAATCGGTTTTCGATTTTCGATTATCGTTTCTGTATTTTGTTTGCGGGCTCTTTTGTTTCCCATATATATATATAAATATATATCCCAGTATATATACGTTTAAGATTGTAGCTTAGCAAAATGAGAAATTGTAATTCGTAATGCTGTCTCGACTAACATTTGTAGTGTAACGCCTATTGAGAACGATTCGTTTGCGTCGATGTTGTGTGTAGTTTGGTTGTAGAAAATTGTTATAAAATATCTATATATATCTATATATGTAAATATATTCATCGGTTGTATATCAGAATCACATTGGACTTGTAAATTGATTTCAGCTTTAGTCATCGAAAAAATCCACTAAGGACACACTCACACATTTTAGAGCCTACTTTTAGGCACTCAGTATAAAAATTCTTGTAAAATGTTTGGAGACTTTTTTTTGGGACAAACTTCAGACGATTCAAGTTAATTTCAAAAATTATTTCGTAAATTAACTTTTAATATATATATACTTAAAATAAAGACTCTTCTTATAGAAGAAGCGAATTTGACCTAAGAAATCGGTTCCTAATATTAAAAAATATACCCCTAATCGACCTTGACAACCTAGATTATAGATTACTAAGGCTGTATTCGAAACTAAAACACTTACTATACTCACACATTGTTTATTAGTGCTATTAAATTGAAGCCAGCAGCGATACTTGATTTTGGTTAATGGATTATGTTGATTTTAGTTTGATATTCACTTGATGCGCCTCTTCTCCACTCTTTCTATCGTTATTGTTATCGTTATAGTTTGATTCTTTGATTACCAAACCAACCTAACTATACTTATACATTCTACAACTTTTTGCTATTGTTTAATTTACGCCTAGTAATAAGAAACAACAAACAAAATTTGTTTTAAATGTAAATATAAGAACTTACAAGAAAACTGTGTATACTACTTCTCCGATCCAGGTGATACGACTGCAAAAGATCTTGCATGCAACACCGCCACCGCACGGCATGAACTATGGCAGCGTCGTCGGAAGTGGCGGCGGCGGCGGCTGCGGTGGTGTTGGTGTTGTTGGTGGTGGTGACAACGGTATTTCCGGTGGTGGTGGTAACACCGGTGGCGGTGGGGGCAGTGTTCAAGTGACCGTAGGCACAAATCCCAACTCTACAGCGAGTACGATTAGTCGCATTCATAGGCACAATCACAAGAACAATAAAGTGAGCAGAGCGGCAGCCCGAAAAAACATTCTATACTTTCGTTCAATCGTTCAAAAAATCGTTCCTGCGTTCGTTTAAAGGTTTCTTTACAGTGAATTGAGTTCTTAACTTTAAACCATAAAATCTATAATGATTTGAGAACTCAATTCCTTTAAGGTGACCTTTCGTTTGTGTCTCGTCCATTTTCACATTCGTTTAAGTAAATGTTATAAGTGTAACTACTTCATAAGTGTGCTTTGTTCATTCTTGTTATGTGTTTCGTTGGCCTTCGTCGAGTTTTGTCACTGGGAGGGCTTCCAGGCAAAAGTTCGTCAGGCCCAGTTATGTTTCTATTTGCTTTGTTAAAGCTGCAAGACACTGGACCAAAATGTTTGCAATTTCAAGACTTTCTTACAGCTAACGCTGCGTATGAGCAATGCCAGAAATCGTGTTAGAGGTAACGCTGCGTACTACTGCGTGTAGAGTACTACAGAATCATAGATTTACCTTTAGTGTACTTTAGTTTATGGAAGAAAGAACTTATTTTCAACCTTTTAGAGTATGTATAGCGAGCTTCTTACAGGCAACGCTGCGTATAGGTAATATGAGATATTACCCATACGCATGTTAGGAACTTGTAGAGTAGTTGAGAATCATAGAATTTTCCTTAGCGTAGTTTTGTTTATAGAAGGAAGAACTTATTTTCAACCTTTTAGGGTATATGTAACGCCTCTCTTGCAGGCAACGCTGCGCATTGGTGATGTCGGAAATCATGTTAGGAATTTGTAGACTACTTCACAATCATAGAGTTTTCCTTATCGTAGTTTAGTTTACAGAAGGAAAATCTTATTTTCAAACTTATAGAGTATATTTAGCGGTATTTACAGGCAACGCTGCGTATGGGTAATATGAGAAATTACCCTTACCCATATGAGATATAACCCATACGCATGGTAGGAATTTGTAGAGTAGTTGAGAATCATAGATTTTTCTTTAGTGCAATTTAATTTAAAGAAAGAAAAACTTATTTTCAACCTTTTAGAGAATATTTAGTGGTCTTCCAAAACGTTTCTTTTCCATTTTGTCTAATATTTTCCTTCTTAAAGCTTCTTTTATTTTTAAAAACATCCAAATTGGTTTATATCGTTTTACCAAAAGCATGTTCTTATATAGAACTTTCTTTTTTAATATATTTAAAAGTTTGCTTTGCCAAAAAAGTCAAGGGCGGTGACTCCAAAAACTCAGCCGATTTAGCCATTACAATTTCCAGTCTTAGGCCAAGTTTTTTTTTTCTTCTTTGGTTCAGTGTCATCATCGAGCTTAAGAAATGCCAGCTGCAGCTCCACATTATTATCATTGACCATTCGTCATACGGAGTGCATGATCCGAGTCTCCATATTGAAGTCTTGACCCAGCATGCTTAGTGCAATGTCCCAAGCTCTGCTCGCTGCCTTTCAGTTTATCCGCATGTAGTGAGTCGTGGCCACATCCCCTCTCTCAAAAAACAAATGCACATACGTAGAGCTTTCTATCTTCAATCTTAATTCTTGAATCTTCAACTCAACCAGCCAGTTCAAGTGCCAGCCATCCAGCAAACGAAGCTAGCGTCCGGGAACCACAACCACAACTAACGAATCTCTTTCTACTTCTTGCTCCCTCTTGCATGGCTTTACATCATCATCCTGCTGCCTACGCCTATGCCCACGCATCCGTGCAGTCGCAGTCCAAGGTGGCGGACAAGTTCAAGAGGCCATTCCGGAAGCGGCATTCGGTGGCTGCCCATCATCAGCCCACCAATCGGGTGAATCGATTCCTCTCCCAGGCGATCAATGCCCGGTCGGTGGACTGCGACAAGTCGGAGCATGTGGATCGGCTGACGCTGCGCTTCAGGCAGAGCGACATGGAGCGGGAATACCACAAGGACTTCGATCTGGGCTTCACCACGGCAATGGGTTGTTCTCTACTCTTGCTCATCCTGGGTGCGGCACTACAAGTGACCGCACTGCCACGCACCTTGATCCTGCTGCTGCTTTTTCTCTTTGCTTTCATATGGGTGAGCGCTATCCTGATGCTCCTGCTGGCCGTGCGGCTTAAGTGGATCATATGGGACATCTCGGAAAGCTTTTCTCTGCGTATGGCCATTACGATTTTCACGGTTATACTCATTTACTCCGTGGGACAAGTGAACGTGGTAAGTACTTTAGTTGAGTAAGTTTGAGTTCTTTAAATTATCCATGCAGAAGTTGGTCTGATATTTCAGACTTAAATATAACAAACCATTGCAGGGATATATATTATATATTATATTCCCAAATAAAAAGCAGTAACAATAAATAGTAATCCACTTCGCTTTCACCCAGTTCACGTGCGTCTCGGACCATCCGTGCTCGGGCAATGCAACGACCTCCTTTCAGAACGACTCTCATCGCAAGTGCTCGCTGCCCCAGTACGTGTCCCTATCGGCTGCCTTTGCCTTTCTATCTGTGTCCGTTTTCCTCAGGTGAGTGCATCATCAAAGAAAGTGAGGAGAAGATAGTCATGCTAATGCGATATCCTTGATTCACAGGCTGCCCATAATATTCAAGTCGCTGCTGGTGCTGGGCATGGGTACCATCTATGGACTGTTCATAGAGCTGTCGCATCAGAACATTTTCGAGTGCTACGACAACCGGGTCAAGTAGGTCAACGCTAATTTTGGTTGTCCCACTAATCCACTAAACCACTCTTATTGAATCTCCTCTGCCCTCCTTAGCGCCTCGATTCCACTTCACTTGATCTCGCTGGCTCGGATTGCCATCTTCATGATTGCCATTCTGGTGCATGGCCGACTGGTAGAGGGCACTGCCCGGCTGGACTTCCTGTGGCAGTTGCAGGCCTCGCAGGAGAAGAAGGAGATGGACGTGCTGCAGGAGTCCAATAAGCGCATTCTGCACAATTTGCTGCCCGCTCATGTGGCTGCACATTTCCTCGATGCACAATTTCGCAACAACATGGTGAGTCGACGTGTTTCCCCACTGCTGACCCATTGACAAAATTAGACTTAATGGGATGAAGATAAAGGGAATGAAATCCTTTAGATATATTTTGTATATCCTAGACTGATTTTTAATCTGGTTGCAGGAGCTCTACCATCAGAGCTATGCCAAGGTGGGCGTCATCTTTGCCAGCGTACCGAACTTCAATGAGTTTTACACGGAAATGGATGGATCTGATCAGGGTCTTGAGTGCCTGCGACTCCTCAACGAGATCATCGCGGACTTTGATGAACTGCTTAAGGAAGATCGATTCCGTGGCATCGATAAGATCAAGACCGTCGGCAGCACCTATATGGCTGTGGTGGGCCTTATTCCCGAGTACAAGATCCAACCCAATGATCCAAACTCTGTGCGGCGCCACATGACAGCACTCATTGAATACGTCAAGGCCATGCGGCACTCGCTGCAGGAAATCAACAGTCACTCCTACAACAACTTTATGCTGCGTGTGGGTGGGTAGAATACCAGAAACATCTCTCCTCATCCCATTAAGCTTTAACTAATTCTGATTTTCATGTTAACAGGCATCAACATAGGACCTGTGGTGGCTGGCGTAATTGGAGCTCGCAAGCCGCAGTATGACATCTGGGGCAATACGGTTAATGTGGCTAGCCGCATGGACTCCACAGGAGTGCCTGGTTACTCCCAAGTAACCCAAGAGGTTGTCGACAGCCTGGTGGGCTCGCACTTTGAGTTTCGGTGAGTGTGTGTAAGATATTATATTCAAATTTGTACTTATTAATCTCAATTACAGCTGCCGCGGCACCATTAAGGTGAAGGGCAAAGGTGACATGGTCACCTACTTCCTGTGCGACAGCGGCAACAAGTCGCTTAACGGAGAGGTGCGGAATGCCATGTCTCTGCCGCAGAGTCTCCATGCGCCGGACTATTACATGAAGGTCTCGCAGTTCCCGGAGAATCGCGTGAATACCGACACGTACAGCAAGAAGGAGAACGGGCATTTGTACGGCGGAACTGGTGGCGAGGAGCAACAGTTACTGTTGCAGCATCAGCACAAACAGCTTGATCCGCTGCCCCTTCCCGCCCCTCCGCCTCCGGTGCACCATCATCTGCATCAGCAGCAACAGCAACGCCTGAACAGCAAGCTGCAAAAGCAACCAATCTTTATGGCCAATGGGGGATTACCCAATATCCGGGAGAATGGCAACGGGCACAACGGCGAGCATCAACCGCAACAGCAACAACAGCAGCAGCAGCACGGTGGATTCATTGTGGCAACGACGACACCGCCGGCTGCAGTGGCGGTTCCCCTCCAGCCCCAGCACCACCAACTCCAGTTCCAGCACCAGCACCCGCACTCGCATCCACTACCGTCAGCAGTGGCGGTTCCAGTGCAGCACCAGATCCTACTCCACCACCAGCTCCAGCTCCAGCATCAGCCCGTTCCTCCGGTAATGTTGCGCGAGTTTAATATTATTGAGAATCCAACTTCCGGTGGCCGGCATCCGCAGATGGAGCAGCTGCCGCCGCATCACGGCAGCCTCGACCTATCGGGAACGGGCATGGGTATGGGAATGGGAATGGGTGTAGGTACTGGCGTGCTCGGCGGCGACTGCTTCATGATGCCAAGGCGAGATCGAGATCGCACGTATGTGCCGCCCTTAAATCAGCATGGCCATCATCCACCGCATCACCTCCATTCGAATATGAATCTGAATCTGAATCTGAATCAGAACCCGAACCAGAACCAGAACCAGCACCCGCCATCGTTCACCAGCCTGGGCTATGGCCAATGCCGGGAGAGCGAGCCGCTATTGCATGCCAGCAGCGTCGCGCCGGTAGCCAAGGTGAGTGAAGACGTTGACCACCTGCTCTGGAGCAAGGAGATCCTCCTTTGAACAGCCAGCTTCGCCTTTGTTCTCCCCTCCGAATCCTGAAGTGCCACAGAAACTGTGCCCAGTAACCAAACCAGTAACCAGACCCAAAAAGCCAAATACCGATACCAAGATACCCATATCCATCCCATTCGTAACTAACACTCCAAGGATAAGAATAGACTTGTATGTAATGATCTCAGATGATCAGATGATGATGATGATGATGAAAAGGTTTAGGAAAGATGGCTTAAACTCTGCTTAGTTGTTGTCTTAATTTAGTTGCTATTTATATGGCGTTTTATTGATCTCAAGATAAGTTTCACTCAGTTTAGATAGGTATAATTTCTTAATTAAATCAAAGTGTTAGAAATTAGAAAACTTGGCCATTAATTCAGTTCATTTGATATTCTACATACCAGTCTGTTCTTGCTACTTGCCCCACCAAACCAGCTCTTGCCCCTCAAATATCCACTTATCCTTATATCTATATCTATGTGTACCATGTGTCTAACTCTCTCTGTGTCCACTCTTTGCATGACCGCACATCTATCTTTCTCTCGCTTGCTCATCTCCGACTAACCACGCCCCCAGATCATGCCCATGCAGCATGCGCCAAAGTACGAGCCACCACGTTACACTTCTCCCCACACCGTGTTGTCGCAGCAGCATCAGCAACATCAGCATCAGCAGCACCAGCAGCAACATCATCCCGCCCAGGACCAGCAGCTACACCCCAGCATGGAGCAACAAGCGCATCCATCGCAGAGACAGTACGCCATGTATTCACAGCAGCCTCAGTTGCCGCCGAAGCCAGCGCTGAGGACGTACATGAAGCCGCTGCCGAAACTGCCGGCGGATTTGGAGGAGAGCCGAGACATGTCCTCAACGGACGACCTTAGCTCGCGTCCACACTCGCCCTCGATGAGCAGTTCGGATGAGAGCTACTCGAAGACCACCGAGGGCGAGGGTGAAGGCGACGAGGATTCGCCACGTATCACAAACGGTGGCCATCTGCATCATCGCAATGGCTATCATTTGCCCGCCGGCGGTCTGGTCAATCCATTGCAATGGCTCTATCCCTGCGACATTCAGGTGGATCCCACCTCACCGGTCGTCGACATGACCCAGTTACATGACTTTGAACTAAGCTCCACCACCGAGAGCCAGGGCCATCACACCACCAGCAACACGACGAGCAACACCCAACACAAGGGCGATAGCTGCAATAGCTTTGACTATCAAAAGGCGGCAGCTGGAGCGGGAACGGGCATGGCCATTGCCACCAAGTCGCCCTTCGAGCGAGAGTTACAGCGTCTGCTCAACGAATCCTCGCGTGCCCGTTGCCTGGCGACTGCCACCACGACAGCTGGTGCTGTCTCCACCACGGATCACACGGCCAGCAATGGCAGTCGAGAGATGAGCTATTCCCTCAGCAATGGAAAATTGAGCTCTACAAATGGTCATGGGGCCACGGGATCGGGATCGGGATCTGGATCAGGATCAGGATCGGCGGTGGGCAATGGCAGCGGCAGCAGCAATGGCAATCTCAGCGGCGGCAGCGGCAGCAACTCGAACAGCGGCAACAACAACAGCAGTCACCACAAACCGGACCAGCAGCAGCATATGGATCACGAGCTCCTGGCCGGTGGCAAGTTGCCGGGCAGTAATAGCTTCATGATTGCCAAGCATCCGGTGGGCTTGGAGGCCATCAAGGAGATAACGCGCAACAAGAACCCTTCGGAATCAAGCCAAATGTGAGTACACCATGGATCAGTGATGGGAAATATCTTGTATTTTGGGAGCTTAGGTTGCCCAAACATATATTCTTGAATTGCGATCCCACAAAGGATCGATTTTTATAGGGTCTGTATATATATGTAAATACCTGTCCATTTTAATTTAAAGTCCAATGGTTAATTCCTTAACTTGTTTTAGCTACTTTGCTTATATTAAATCCTAAAATGACCTGCCTAAGGTACCTTTCCCATCACTGACCATGACGACAGCTTCCATTCCATGTCATATGGTGCAGGTTCGCCGCTTTCATAACCGGTGTCTGGGTGGCCCTATATTACTTTTAATTTGTAAACCCATTCAAAAGATATATCTACAACAATCTTAACCCATATAGGATATCCGATTCTTGCAGGCAAACCTCGGACACGGAATCCTGCGAGATTCTGCACGAGAATCGCAATCAGATGCATGTCCTGGCCATGCTGGAGATGCATGCGGCCAAGGAACTGAACGGCAGTCATGTACACCATGTGCAACATCCCCAGCCGCATCAGCAGCAGCAACAGCAGCTGAGGACACATCGCCAGCGACCGCGCTCCAAAGAGCTGCAGTACAGCCACGAGAGTCTGGACGGACTGGATGGAGCGGTGCAGCCGCAGTCACAGCAGCGCCATCAACGCTACCATCACCACCACCATCACCACCAACAGAGGCAGCAGCAACAGCAGCGCTACAATCATGTCCAGGAGCAGGAGGAGCGTGACGACACCGAGGACAACCTGGCCGATGAGGAGTTTGAGGACGATGAAGTGGGTCGCGATGTGCGACAAAAGCGACTACAGAAGCCGGACCTCAATCACAAATTACGAGCAGAGGCTGCTGCCGAGGCGGGCAATCACGATGATGAGGAAGAGGATGATGACGACGATGATGATGAAGAGGAGGAAGACCACCGGGATGGAGGGCACAGGGAGGCAGCGCCACTGACGAACGGCAGTATGCGCGGCCTGGAGGCCAATGTGATAAACGACGAGTTAAAGTACGGAGCGGCCCATCTCAACCACCAGTCCATGGACTCCAATCCATTGGAGAGCCAATCGGAATGGTCGGACGACGATTGCCGTGAGGAAGCAACAGGTAAGAGTAAAGCTATCTATCATTATCCTAACTAATGATATCTATTGTTTAGGGGGAGCGGAGTCCACTGGTTATATTACGGATGAACCGGGACTGGAGAACATTTCGCTACTGAACGAAGCAGGTCTCACCGATGCCGAGGGCGCCCTCTCAGACGTTAACTCGCTGTATAATGCGCCGGACGTGGACGACACCTCGGTGTCCAGTCGGGCTAGCTCCCGCCTGCTCAGCCTGGATTCGCTGAGCGGCCTTTACGACTGCGACCTGGACTCCAAGCATGAGCTGGCCATTGTCAATGCCTCGCACAAGATCTCCAGCAAATTTGGACAGCCCCCCTCGCCGGCACAGCAACAACAGCAGCAACACCAGCACCAACAACAGCAGCAGCATCCGCAGCAGACTCAATCCCAAATACAAGCCCAATCGCATTTGGCTCCGATTCAGTTTCAGTCAGCAGAGGAGCTGAGAGAGTAAAGATTGAAAGTTCTTGAGGAGAAAGAGGAGAAGGAGGAGGGAGCGTTAAACACTCAAACGTTGTTATTGCTATACAAGCAAATGGTGTCTAATAATTTACAATAAACCAACCTAAACTAAAGTAAACTAAATCTAGAATAGGTGACAGATATATCTATATCTATATATATATTTATGTGTGAAAAGAAGGAGAGGCACTTAAAGCTGCTCTATGGCACCCCTAGATGTATAAGCCCCGTTTACTTTACCTTGGCTAAATCATGCCTATCATAGGTATTAAACTCGTATATATATATATAAAGATAGTATATGCAAAAGAAAAATCTATATGTATTGAAAGTAAAGATAAAGTAGTCATTGGTTAAACAACGTCGCCAATTGGCCCAGTTAAAAGCGTTCCAGTTACTATCCAGCGAAATTCAACTTGATATTTAGACGCAACTTGAGAGATATCCACAATGCTAATCCATGAAAATTCATCATTTAGTGCGCTTAGTCCATCCTAAGGACTTAATTGGAAGGATGGGGGGGAGGAACGATCGCTAACCCTCTGTCCATCAACCATATGTTATTAACGTACGAATATATTCATATGTATGTGTATAATTTTGATAATCGAATAAGCAAAGATTTTGGCCATTTATACGAAGCCACAACCAATGCATGACAAGATGTAAATAAACTATAAAGTGTTATATATAAATATTTTTCCGATATTATTGTAAGGCTCTATTCAAATTGCCCATAGACTGCGTCACCTTAAATTCGAATTTTAAAATTAAAAAAAAAAATGAAATCGAAAAATCTCTTTGAAACAAATTGAGAAATTTTGGATAATTAAAAGTCCCTTGTGGAAGATACGTAAATATTCAATGTTTTCTTTCCTTTAATTTTCTTATTTAGTTTTCCCTTCCCGTTGACACGCCAAGCGTCTGACCACTACACGTTGCCTACCCTTGGGCTCAACCACAAAAAACTGGCTTAAACTTAGCTTTTTGTATTCCAAATATATGATGTTGCGAATTTGTTTAGTTTAAGAGAGTTCCAGAGTGCTAAACGGAGTGAACACTAAAAGTGAACTCCACTCTACTCTGTTGCCTGCTGCACAATTGTCAAATTTCATTTGCTAATGCTATATACTTTGTCTGTAAGATCTGTACATAGAAAATATATTGAAAAGAAATGATAGAAGATGAATATGATTTACAATTACTAGGTACTTAAGATGCAGAGACAAAGAAAATATTCTTGATATTGTTGTCCCGAAAACCAAAAAAAAAACAAAAACAAAAACAAAAACCCAAAACAACACCAAGCTAAAATCTCGTACAACTGTGCAAATGATAAATAAGATATAAGTGTAAACAAACAAATCCATATTTTGTGTGTGAAATTTATAAAGTCGCCTTTAGAGCGTCCAAATATTATTAACAAAAACTAAAAAAGGAAAAAACTAAAAACTAAAATGAAAGAAAAACCATTTAACGATAGAAGCAACCAACCACAGCTACTGCAAGAACTGCAAACAGCCCACAGATAAACTTCTTATGCAAATATATATATATATATAGCGCAGATCTGTATACATCAAATATATATATATATATATATGTACATATGAATGAAACTGAGAACCAGCTGGAATAAATATCTATATCTATATATAATATATATATTCATGAAAACTGTACACAAAGGCAGAGAGACAGACAGGAAGTTGGACTTGTGCAAGTATACATATATATATATTTATTTTTCTGTACTAAATGAAAGTAAATGGTAAAGAATTGAATATTATATGCAATGACAGTCATCTGTCTATATCTACACAAAATAAACTGGTGGGGGTATTAAGGCCTTATAAGGAGGATTAAACGGAAAAAGTCTAGAGGCCGAATGTCGACACTCATCTTGATTTCGAGCGAATGCAATTAACAATTTGGCACAATTGCATTAACTCAGGCCTGTTCCAAAAAATGTCTTACGAAAGTTGATTGAAAACTTAATGGAATTTACTTTCTTTTTTATTATTTAATGATTAAAGATTTAGTTTGAATAAAATGAAGTATGAAACATGTTCTGGTGGGTATATGACAGTACCTTATCCTACCACTCGAAAACACATTTTCTTTTTGTGATCTCAAAATAAAAATCAAATCAATTCAAATAAAATATAACTTGTAAACCCACCATTTTGATAAGGTCTTATTATGTTTAAAAAATGTTTAAAAGTTTTTAATTTGAAAAGGGAAAGTAAAAGAGATTCATTTATAGAAAAACTTTTGGAAAATTGGAACAGACCTGTTTGTATAAGAAAAGAAAGAAAAACCCTACTAGAAATACATAAAATGTCAGCATATCAAATATGTCAAAAAAAAATAAAATATATATATATATATATATATACAAAAATATAAGATTGTGTTTTTGGATTTTGGGTAATTTGAAAAATATTTCCTTAAACATTTTTCTTCTGACTTTAAATACTTTTTCAAGCCTAGATTATGTTTAATATTTAATTTTCTTGTTTGTTTTTTCTTATTGATTTAACCAAATTGGCTATCAAAATCTTTTGTTTTTTAGGAAATTTAAGGGTGTTTGTAACAGCTGGGCAAATATCCTAGACTTGGCTAGTTGGCTTTTGTCTATTCTTTGCAGTTGGGCTAACATTTGTCTGGTGGAGGAGGGTCATCACGACACGTGCCGGACTTTCTGTTTTCTGTTTTTCCTCTCTTTTTTTTTGCAATATGTACTTAACGTATTTACATTTCTAGCAAACGGTGGTTGCAAATGCTTTTCCTTTCCTTATGTTTTACAAATATTCGGTATTTGCCTTACTTTGAGACGATTTTCTAAGCGAGGGTGCAACAAAATCAAACATTTTAAATAAATTGCCAAAAACAAGCTTTTGATTCTTTTAGTTAGATAATAATATTTAAGAAAAGTGTGCCGAAAGTATGTTAACCTTATTGAAAATCAAAATAATCTTTTTTTTTCCAAGCATTTTTAGTGGGTTTTTCCACACCTCAATGAGCTTGGGTGTTCTGGGGCAATCATTCAGATTAAAGACAATAAAGCAAGCCTGTTTCTTGTTTTACTTGATTTAAATTGCTCAAACAAATATCACTCATTAACTTTGTTCTCATGATATCTTGGCTCTTGCCAAAAAGAAAAACAATCAATGGTACCCACACTCAGGTGATTCCCTCTGTCATGGTTGTTGTTTATTTCACCGATCGAATGACGTCTTTTCAGGGGGAGGTGGATGGTGGCAGGCAGGCTGTGAGGTTGGATGGAAATATTACATATTTGAGCAATCCAAGTCATACACAATAGCATGGGGGCGGTGGCGTTGGTAGACTCAACTCGACTGGGACAAATGAGACACTCTGGCGGTAAATATTTAATCAAATGTTGATAAAAAAGAACAGCTCGAAACGGCGGTTGCCATAAAAGCCCGTTGCCCTGTGGGAATCGCCAGTAATCAGATCTGGGAATAGAAATGCGCAACATCGTGATCATCGTTAGCCTATCTCTGGCACTTGGCATCGCCACCGCCACCGATTACTGCAAAAAGAGCTGCGGCAGCACCAAAAATCTGGGATGTGATAATAATGGGGTAAGTTCTTAGGGTTTTTATCTTCTGAAGGTTATCCAGTAAGAGATTACAAACCACCCATTTGAGAAAATAATACAAGGAAGTAAAACTAAAAACGATTTCCTTTTAAAGGCCTGGGCTTCTAGCTGCCCCAGCGACGCCACCCTGCTGACCCTGACCACAGACCAAAAGGACGCCCTTGTGGACAGGACAAACGAGTATCGTAACTACATCGCTGGAGGATTGAATGCCAACTTGAGTGCCGCCTGTCGAATGGCCACCATCAAATGGAACGACGAACTGGCCTATTTGGCTAGCCTTAACGTGAAGAGCTGTGCCATGCGTCACGATGGATGCCACAACACGGACGCCTTCGATTGGTCTGGACAGAATCTGGCCTGGATGAGCTTCTACGATCCTTTGAATGTTACCCACTATCTGCAGTGGGGTGTTGATATGTGGTACAGTGAGGCTGTGTATACCAAACAGGCCTACATCGATGCCTATCCATCAAACTACCAAGGACCTGCCATTGGTCATTTCACTGTCCTTGTGGCTGATCGCAATACTGAGGTGGGTTGTGCCGCAGCCACTTACTCCGTTTCTGGGCAATCTTACAAGGCCTTCCTTTTGGCCTGCAACTATGCAGCCACCAATGTCCTGGGCATCAAGATGTACAGCTCGTGTTCTACACCGGCCAGCAAGTGCACGACTGGTACTAATCCCAACTACAAGTATCTGTGCAGTTCCAAGGAGGTCTACGACGTGAACAACCTTTTCTATTGATCGAATAAATAGAAGCTACTATCGGGCTATTTCAATTTTTATGAAATTGTTATACATATGTATGAGAAAAGGGTGGACCTTGTTAGGCCTAAAATGATTGGGAGGTGGGTTAATACTCAAGATTTTTGTTCTTAAGTAGTAGATCAGTAGTCAAGCTAACAAACTCTTGATACTCTCTATTAAGAACCAAAGATTTTGTATTGAGAATTTTTACCCTTAAGACAGATTTTGTTAGTATGAAAACTGAACACCAAGGAAGATGGTCGAAATCTCTGAACGAAGATCCGAGGAAAAATCAAAATAATACATAATTCTATGCAATTTGATGATAGAACTACTAATAGTGATAAATATTATCATATATTAAGAAATTAAGTAGAATTTCTGCGATTTCTGATTAGAATTACTATTATTGTGTCTTCAGCGGAACTGGAAAGATATTAAAAGCTTATCTCTATTGTTGTCTTTGAGATGATAAGAGATACGATTTCTATGAATCATCACGAGATGAAGGCTTGTCTTGGATGTAAAAAAGCAAAAAATAAATGAATTTCAGGAACTTCCAAGTGGTGTTTGTTATGATTTGATAAGATAAAAGTCTAAGAAACGGAAAGGTAATAAAACATATTTCTAGGAAACTTTGGAACCTTAAGTCAGTAAATCTGCATTAAAATAATTTCTATAACTTATTCGACTAACAATGTCTTAAAAAATCCCACAAATAAGCTAAAAATATAAAAAAACACTTAACTTTTCACAGTAATTTTCCTTATTTTTTTTTTATAAATAACTAATTAACTTTACTTATCTGCCTTTTGATAAGGTATAAAAACACACTAATAAAATGCTGTAAATCCGGTGGTTTTTATTTAAATGGTGCCATATTTCGAGTGCTAATTGCCCACGAGCAGTTTGGACTGAGGAAATAACCCATAAATTGATCCTCAAATCAGTTTTGATAAGCAGTTAAAGAAGTCTGCACGAGGATGCGACCTACCTCAAGTGTTCTTATCAAAGAAAAGTCAAGATCAGTGTTTACACTTTGATAAAATGTAATTAAATATTACAAAGAATTAGTGTCAACCCTATAAGTAGTATTAATCTTTACCCTTACAGATACATTAAAGTAAATCTCAAATTTGTTTACAAAGATAGTTGCCCAAATTGGCTTTTGTCTGCGATTTCTCGATCCATAATAGTTAGTTGGCAAAAGTGATTGGCTCGTAAATATAAGACTTGCGATTAGATTGAATGGAGTTCGGCTGGCAGAGTGTATGGATAGATGGAAATGATTTACAATTGCACTTGAAGTACTTCCACCGATAAGGTTCTTCACCATATAAGCACTTGGCTGGGCCATCAAACTCATAGATCGCCTTTGGTCGAATCGAAGTCAACAATGAAGTTCGCTGTGCTAGCCATTCTGGTCGTGATTCTGGGCCTGTCCCAGGCCACCGACTACTGTTCCTGGGACATCTGCAGCGGTGGCTCCCACATCGCCTGTGGCCATAGTAACTGGTGGGACAGCAACTGCCCTGACAATGCCGAACTGATCGACATCAACGATGACTACAAGTGGGTCTTTGTTCATTCCCACAACGACAAGAGGAACTACATTGCCGGTGGTTATGATCCAAACCATAATGCTGCCTGCCGCATGGCCACCATGGAATGGGATGATGAGCTGGCCTATCTGGCCTCTTTGAATGTCCGCCAGTGCAACATGGTGCACGATAGCTGCCACAACACCGATGCCTTCAAGTACTCCGGCCAGAATCTGGCCTGGCAGGCTTACTCTGGCGATCTGCCCGATATGGGCTACATTCTGGACAACAGCGTCCAGATGTGGTTCGATGAGGTTTCCAACTCCAACTCTGGAATTATTGCTGGTGGATACCCATCGGGATACAGCGGACCGTAAGTTTCAGTGGTTATTAACCTTTCTGTTTTGAAGTGTTTATGTAAAAGAGGAGTCTTCATAGAGAGGAGTTCTAAATTCATTTTTTTAATATTTTTTTTGGTTAAAAAGTGCAGTGAAATCTGTGATACAAGTCAGAAGCTTAAGTTAATATATATTTTTGGAATATATAAACTTTAAAAATATGACAAAGAAAGCAAAGCCTTCTCTAAAAATAATGTGAAAAATTCTAATACAAGCAGAAGAAGAATTACCAAACAAAAACCTAAACTGAATCTAAGCAACCTGCGATAGATACATTATACTCGTATACGATATTTAGTTATAGGATTTCCATTTCTTTTCCTCTAACTTAACCCAAACTCAACCCTCAAACCCTTAACCCCACAGTGCCATTGGTCACTTCACCGTAATGATGTCCGAGAGGAACACCCGTGTGGGATGTGCCGCTGCCCGTTACAATCGCGATGGCTGGAACCAAGTGCTGGTGGCCTGCAACTATGCCACCACCAACATGATCGGTCGCCAGATCTACTCCAGCTGTGACTACGGAGCACAGGGATGCGGATCCGGTACCAACGGCGAGTTTGGCAACCTCTGCTCCGCCTCCGAGTGGTACGATGTCAACAGCTGGTAAATCTAACCAGGCATCAACGTGTTTAATTAAAGATAATTTCGAAAAAAAAATATATATACAAACAGATAATGTTTTTAATCAGAGATTGGAATCAAATTTCAATATTGAATTGGTTCTTTAAATCAAAGAAAGAGGAAGATTTACTACTACCAAAGGTGACTGATAAGTCTGAAGTGACTCAGTAAGAGGGTGATAGCTTAAACTTAAAAACAAAATTAACAAAAAATATAACTTAAGCTTCTTAGTTTAGACTTTTCAAGGCCCCCAAAACCCTAACCCGTTTACAAAGTTTCGTGTTTACTTATTTATCTATCTCAAAATATGTGTTGTTTTTGGCTAATAGGAAAACATTTGATTTACATTTTTTTAGTATCAAACATAATTTTCATTTAATTGAAGTACGGAAAATTTATAACATTAAGTTGAGAATAGATAATAATGTAAACCTTAAATTTGATTCTCAGATACATTTTTTGCGATCATTTTTGGTCGAAAGTTCTTAGGTTTTTCAGTGTTATTACATAATCATCTGATCTGAGTTGGAGAGGGGGTGATGTTCGATTGATTACATAGGATCTGTATATAAGTGTAGAATTTTTCGGTTTTCTATTTTGTGGTGGGATTGTTGTGTTTATGATCGTCTTTTCAGTTTGGTATTTTGGTAGTTTAGTAGTTTGGTAGTTTAGTCGTTTAGCAGTTTAGCAGTTTAGCAGTTTAGTAGTCATCTGATTCATAGGATGTATCGCTTGAAATTGAGTCACTTGAATATTGATCGAGCCAATTATAGATATGCCGATCATCCAATCGCCATGGGAAATGTTCCAAAAAATCTAGAATATCATCACTATCGCCAGGTGGCTTACGGACTCGACGTGGCGATCCAACATCGATATGCGTACCATCGGGTAAGGCGTGTCTATAGAAGCATTTATTCCCAAATGGACAATTTCCATCACCCAACCTAAAGTACTTGCAATCCTTGCCACCCAATGCGGTGCGATAGGTGTTTAGCAATTTCTCCTTATCCTCCTTGGTATCCACCCAATATGTACTGGGGCATACATAGTCCGAGCATACGCGACATTCGGGACATCCTCGCGTTACCTTATACTCGAACTGTTTAGTTTGGCGCCAGGTACGGATGCATGCCAAGCAAAAAGTATGATTGCATTTGGATAATATACCAAAACGTCGTTCTCCGCCCTTCTTCTCTAGAATAATATCAAAACAGATGCCGCATGTCTTGTCCTTGGATCTGGCGACCGCAAACGATAGCTCCATTGCCTCCTCATGATACTCCAAACACTGGCGATTGTGCTCCCTCCTTTGGTTTTTATCATTCGGATGCAGGCAATATACATCACACATCTCGCATAGCTCCATGTGTATCGGATATGTACAGCGTTCACCAAATATACACATGCCGGCGTACGGGCATATCTCATCCAATGAGAATCCAGGACGTTCCAGACCTACAGCTACATCAGCACCAACTTCAGCATCAGCATTCGGATGCCTCATTTGGCTGGGCACAAAGACTGGGGCATTTGCCCAGATCTTCTGACGGCTATACATACTGGTGCTGGGTACTTGATCATCATCTTCTTCAATCTTTGATGGATACTCGGGATGAGCAGAATAAGAAGCCGGATTGTATGTGGAACTGTAGCACAAGTCATGGGAGAATCGACAGAACTCACCGAAGCAACAAATGCCGTTCATAAAGTAGCGACAAGGGGTTAAACTTCGGCCTAGCGACATTCTGAAAAGCTAATTACTGTTATTAGTTGTAGTTTTCAAAAGGGCGTTGCAAAATTTAAAAAAAAAAATATATTTCTTGTGTAAAAGCTTGGAACAAGTTCTCGGCAATACTATCCTTTTTAAAATAGCCCTATTCGACTAATGCCCAAAAGAATTTTAAACTACACGCCTTCTCGGTTCGATTGTTTCGATGTCTTTTACAAAGGTATTCTGATCCTTGGGGATTTTTTAGTTAATTCATTTAAGAAAGACATTTTTTAGCTAATAATTAATCTGAAGATTTTTCATAATATTAATTTTTCTTAATTTTTACAAAGCATTTTAAGGGGATAAAGAAGTTTTTCTATCTACTTTTAATTTTTATTAAAATTTTATGTATAAACTTTTTACTGCCTACTTTTAGGCACTCGTATATAAATTTCCCTAATTTCTAGAAACTTTACTATGAAAATCTATCTATGATTTCTTGATCCCTAGCAATGTATTTTCAAGTGCTTGAAATGTGATGTTTCTTCAAAAAAATTTTCATTTAACTCAATCTGTTATGCCGCCCCTTTAACCCACCATTGCCCCACACACTTCATGTTGCCGCAAAAATGGAATCCCCATCGGCGGTGTAATCTCCTCCTGACTGCCTGGCTCAACAGTTGTCGCGATTGATTTGCCAACTGGGTTTTGGGTATTGGGTATTGGGTTTTTCCCTGACTGTCACAGATTACGGAATTCCACAGACGACTTTCGCCATTGCCATTGCCATTGCCATTGCGAGATTGCCACATTGCCACATCTACGAGTACGAGTATATTGCTTCCGGAAACTGTTGTCTTGTACACACCGATAAAATCCGTGGAGTGAATTGGGGGTGTGGGTGAATCCCCCTCTTGTTGCTCCACGGGCTTGTGTTGTTATATGCCGAATTTGTCGTGAAATGTCTTGGTAATCAATTTATGTGTTCCGTCGTCGCTAGTTTTTTTTTTTTTTTTTGGGTGGTTTAAGCATCGCGATTCTGCCAGATGCCGCAAGCCGCAAACTTTTTTGCCATCTGAATGCGGGATGAAGATGAGGGTTTGAGGGTTGAGGAACTACAAGTTGGTGCCTTGGAAATTCACCTGCGGAATTCACAACGATAACTTCCACTCATCTCCGCCTTGAGGCCATCAACTTTGACGGCCTGTCTCTGGTCTCGTTGTTCGACGTGGCGCGCCTCTCTGTCTATCTGCCAGTCGTCCGTCCTGTTGGTTCGTCCTGTTGCTTGTCCTGCACTCCAAATAAATTCCATGGAATGAACTATGAATTACTCGAGACAGCATTAATGCCCTTTGCCAAAGGAACTTCCGAAAGGCGTACAAAAGGCAAAGCCCAGTCTTCGATTGCCCAGTCCCCCCTTCTTTTGTTATTATAAATTCTTTACTTTTTTCATAGTAACACTGTCCAGTGTAGAGTTTTCTTTTACACAGAGGGGAAATTTCAGAAATTTGAAATGATTTCGAGATAGTTGTAACCATTTTATGGGAATATTGATTTGTTTTTATATTAAATTAGATAAATGTTATCTTAAATGGCACTTTTATTATTCAAAAAATATATTCTCAGAGATATCAGTCAAAGTATTTTCTTTCCGTGCACTTTGCCTTCCGTTTTGGCGTACGTGTAAATGAAGCATTTTCCATTTGATGATAACAAAACATGTTTGGCATATTGATGAATGCCTCCAGAGAATGGGTGTCCCTCCCTATCTATGGTAGGTAGTTGCCATTCCCCCCCCCCATCCTTTTTTCCCACCGATGGCACATTTCAGCAGCACATCTTGCGGCAAGGACTCGAATTAGGCGCCACTGGAGTTCTTGCAGTGAGCTCGATTTTAATGATGTGACTGACGGACGCCCACCGAAAAATGTACTTTCCTTGGCTCCTTTCAATGTTTCATGGATGGTGGATGGTCTCCATCTCCACCTCCACCTCCAACTCTCTCCCCTTGTATTATTTTTCCCTGGCTTTTTGCTTACTTTTCATAACTACCCGCCGTAGAAGCGTTTTACCAGCCTGTTTATATATGCGGGCTCTGGCGTTTGTTTGCTTTTTGGAATACGTGATTCGCCCACGGTGCGGATGTGTATCTTGAGAATTGTTGGAGAGAGGGAGGGATGGGATGGGCTACCATCCGTAGTAAAAATATAAATAATAATAAAAATAATTTCTCACTTCATTTGTTGCACAAATCGAAAATAAGCTCAGAATCGAAGCAAAGACCGTCCGTTCGTGTCTCTGATGAGTTTCGTTCGTTACTTCAGATGCTCGACCTTCGATTTATGTCTGGAATTTCAATGCGTGTGTGTCTGCTTTCTATACTTTCCTTTTTTATTAATATAAGTTAATGCCATCATGCCATATCATCATAGTATATAGAACGTATACTTTATGCCCAGGAAAGCTAATGAATAAATGGACGTTTGCAGAAATGACTTAATAAGTTTATTCATGGGTGCTCCGTGGACTGAGAAACGAGTGATGGGTTCAGGAATGGGTAAAGTGTTGAGAGGTTAGTTGGGAAAACTCTTTTAGTTTGGTAAGATGAAAGGGTATTGGATGTATCTTTCAACGATGAAAAGTTATTGTAATATTTTTTAGACTTATTCTAACTTGAAATCTTTATTCATTTTCTCACATATTTCTTAAAGATAAATAAGAAAAAAATGATTGGAAAATTCTCATCTAGAAATAGAACATTTTAAATTCAATTACGTGAAATTTTTAAGCACCGCAGCCTCTCAATTGAATTCGGAATCAGGTGCAATTTAAATTACCAACAAACTGTGACAAGGTGTATCTATCTTCCTTTGGCTGCTTGCCATGTGTTGGGTGTTCTATATATACATACTATATATATATATATATGTATATAAGACCTGACAGGAAGCATTAAAAATGGTTGATATCAGGAAGCCAAAAGACGGCAAGATAGATATACGCTGAGGCAGCCAAGGAAATTGAGTGTGCAGAAGGTGCTTATGATGGTTGGTTGAATGCAAAAACAGTTTAAGTATGGCAGAAAAATTAAGTTGAATTTATAGAATGATAATAAGTAAAAGCAAAAGTATTCAAATTAAGTAATAAATATAATAAATGCCACAACATGGCATAATAAGCAAGTTTAAAAATTGAAATCTAAAATACGTAAAATTATTGTTTGAAATTCTCACAAAAAAGAGTTCTAAATAATGAAAGAATCTCTTAAATAAAGTTAAGAGCTAAACTAAACTTAAGCTTTGTTTAGTTTATAAAAAAAAAACAGAAACCTTTTCATTTCCTGTCACCTTTCCTTGGCAGTCTCATTTGAATATACCAGTTTATACCCCCGCCCTTTCTTATAAACCGTGTCTGTGACAATTATAAGTATAGCACCCACACACTCCAGAACCACTAACACACACAGGCACAGAGACACACACATATGCTGAGTGAAAATATTAAATTAGCTGCCAAGTTGTGAGCCAATTTCAATTTGTGCTCCGCGTGGCAAACAGATTTTAAGCCATGTCAGGACTCGAAGCTTTTCTTTCGCCTTGCCTTGCCTTGCCTTGCCTTGCTTTTCCTCGCTTTTTATTTTACCCGTGTCGTTGACACTTTGAGTGTGTGTGTGTGTGTGTGTGCGTGGATGCCTTGGTATGTGCTTGTGTTAACTGCAAGCCGTAGCATACTTTAGAGCGCTGCCATTCATTAATCAAGTTCAGGGCACTTTAAAGTGGTCGGTCGCTTAGCCTCGACTCTGTCACTTGGAAGCTAAAAACTGAAGCTCAAGCTAAGGCTGGTGCTGCTGCTGCTGCTGCTGAAGCTGAAGCTGAATCTGCCGCCGGAAATGGGTTTTTTCTTACCTCTCCTCCCTCACCAAAGTCGCCCACACATTTGCGGTGAAAATATGAGAGCTAAAGTATGGGAAGTATTTTAAAGAAAACAACTAAGAAATTAACTAGTTACAAACCTAAAATATCTAAAGACATTCTTGTACTATCAAACCGATTTGAAACAGAAACAAGACTTCTCTTATTCTGTATGAATAACGAGGACAATTATATCAATTGTAACATTTAATGGCTTACTTTTGGGGCGAACTTTGGTGCACTTAGCAAAGTGTGAACTGTACCCTCCGGGTTCAGGTTATAGCAGGGCGGCATAGCTCCTTCCCCTTCTGTTGGTCCTTTGTTGGCCATATTTTTTGTGTGTTGTTGTTGTTTTTACAACTATTGTTGGTACAATAGGGGAAAAGACAGACAGAATATTGCCAGCATTTACATATAAATATTTATTGTCTTCTATGTGGCTGCCCCCAAGTTGCATGTGAGCGGTCAATTTAACACGAAACAACGTAAAACTGCTGGACAGGCCTTCCCCAAGGGGTTATATCTTTCTTTTTTGGTGGTGATAAGGAGCGAAAAGCCCCATTGTTTGTTTGCCTTTGAGATGCTGTTAAGATGTTGCCTGGCAAAGGGGCATTGCTTTGGCTTTCCTTCTTTTTTTCTTTTTTATTATGACTATCAACGGTTATTGCGGGACAGAATGAGGGGTGTATGTGGGTGTGTGTGTAAAGGAACTCCCCAAGGATTTTTCTGGGCCTGTCCTCCGGCCTTATTATTTCATCATTATAACATTTCCTCCTATATAAATAGATATATAATATATAAAAATGGCCCAAGAACATATGTGCACGAACAAGGTTTAGGAGTAAAGTAAATTGCGAACCTTTTTGACCACATTACAGATTTCTTTGTTAGAATATCAAAACTAAAACTCTGATCGGTCAAAGCAATGTTTTTCGATTGTTAACTTTAAATAAGTTGCAAAGCTAACAGATCGACTTCTTTGTAAAGTTTGTAATCAAAACTAAACATCCTCATCAGGTTAAATAAAATAAATGTTAAGCCCAATTTCTCATTTTTTGTAAGGAATGCAGAAAGACTAGGAATTAGGAAACAAGCTCAACGAGGTATGACATTTCATATTGAGACCAATATTTCTTTAGTTATGAGTAAAATTCTGTAATTTTGATAAGAAAAGTCAACATTTATAAAACCAATTTTAATACGGATTGATTGGGAATTCAAAAACAACTCAACTTGATCCGTTTTGGGGAAATAAAACTATCATTATAAAAGATTATTAACAGGCCTTAATATCCAAAATATTTCTGATCGCAGAAGCACTGACTTTTGAATGTCAACTTGAAGAGCTTCAGTAATCTGTGGAAATCAGTATTCAACGATACCTCATCGAAGCAGCACATATATTTACTACGTAAGAGCTGATTAATCACGATGAATAACAATACGAACTCTGATGAACAATGTAAGAAACTCGATGCTGAGACAGAGTTTGGTAATATACACAAATAATAGATGGAAATGGAAATAAAGTAGTTATATTCCTGGTCAGAATTGCTGAAATATGCCCAGGAGTTGCTCAAAGAACATCATCTGGGAAAGGGACTTGGTGGAAGTCACCATCATCGACCTCATCTATTGCAAAGGAAGGAACTGGCAGGCTTGAAAAGCCTTCGAAGAGGTTGGACCATATGGCAAGACGCTGCTAAGAGCGTTTCTTTAAGGTGTTACGGTTATTAGCCCTTGATAATGGCTATCACACATCAAAATTTGCAAGTGACGTGTCTTTTGGAATCGGAAATGATATCTGATTGGTTGTATTTGAAGTTACAAATCTTAGATATTGATTGGTGAACCAAGGTACTTAAGTTTCTGTATACTTTTTTCCATACTTTTATTCAATTTCTCACTTTTCCCTCTCTGTAGAGCTTCTGCTCCTCTTTCTGGAACTTGTTCTTCCTGCTAATTGTGCGGTTTTATGAAAGGATTAACGAGCTGCACAGCAGGCTGTTTCAATTGTTAAATTCCAATCGATTGAATTTCAAGTTTCAAGTTTTTCACTACATAAAAAGGCAATAAATACTTAAAGAAAAACCAAACTGTGCCTTGCCAAGTACATAAAGATTGTTTGCTTTTAACTTTTATACAAAAAATCGAATAAAAATTGTAATTTATAAAGTAAATCCCCCTTCCGAGATGGCCCAAACTAGTTGACTGTGTAGATCAACCCATATATATATGTAGGCATTATCAAATTGCATACATATAGCTTATAATTTGTTTACCCAACAAATGATACAACAACGATTTGCAAAGAGCGCTTCAGTCATGGGCATTTGACATTCTGATTGTTGTTATTTAAATGTTCTTTATTGTTGCTGCCAATTACTCTGGTTATTCGCAAAGTACAAGGGCATAAACTATTCGTCAATCAAATCGGTATAACTCCCAATGTGGTCTATATATCTATATATGGATATATATAGTCGTTTTACCAAGAATTCATTAGAAATCAACAACATGAAAAGCCATAACGTTTGGTTTTTAACTGGCGTTCTGAGAAATCATTAAGGCTGAAGTTTTTGTGGTAAATTATAGAAACAAAAATAACTAGAATTTCTATATAATTTGGTACATAACTTTATAAAAATATTCCTAATTAAATATTAATCTATAAAATAATAAAGAAGTCTTACGAAAATACGTTTTAAAAGCTTATTTTCATCGCTTTTCCATTTTAAACTTATTTTTGGTCTTAAAAACTTGTAAAGCCTACCCAAAACTATATTAAATTGTCTTCTTTTTTTGCCCAACTAACCCAAAAAAAAAAATCACAACTAGTGAGTGTTACCAACTGGCATTCAACTTGGGACAGAATTAGATACGAAATTGTGACTCAAGTTGACCATTTTTATTGGCACTTCCACTGAGGCATTCCCTTTGCTTGTTAACTCACAAAACCAAAATTGCTGCGCTGTAGCAACTTTTAACACCGATCTCTTAGCATAACTAACCCAAAAATTGTTAATATATATATGTATGATTAAAGTAGAAATCTTTGATAAAGGTTTTTGGAGTCACCAATAAAATTACCGGCAATGATTTTAAGGTTTTTCTAAGTTTGCAAGGGATGTTTCTCTCTTTTTTACTGTATAAACCAAGGAGTATGTTTGTTATGCTCAAAAGTTTGTGATTTTTAAATAAATAAAAATAAAAAAAAAGAAATTTACCAACTATATAAGACATTATATTGCCTTAGAAAGCTATAGCTAGCTGCCTCACATTTTTCTACATTAATTTGTTGGTTTGAAAATAACTTTAAAAATATTTCAAGGCACACTTTATGTAAAGCTTAAAGATATATATTTAATATAACCATAACCTTTATTATTATTTCTTTAAAAATTAATATTTTTAAGCTTATAAAAAATACCTGAAAAGGGCATTTAACATTCCATAAAACTTCCAATATATGCCCTTAGGGGGATTTTTTTTTTCAAGTCTGCACCAAAAAAAAAAATCTGTTTATCTTTCGCTTGACGTAAAGGTGACTTCGCTGTTTGTTTTGGTCTAACGATCGTCTGTTAATAATTACCTTTCAAATTTGAAATTTTTTTATATGCAAAACCGTCAATGGATTCGGCTAATTAGCGGCCAAAACACAATTAATCAATTGGGCAACGACACTCTCAACTGATCAGGAGAAAGTCGGCAAAGAGTGTTTGTTTACATTGCCCGATAAATTGGGTGAAGAAAATATATAAAAAAAACAGCAAACATAACTATAGATTATATAAGACGAGAAAGAGGTTTTTTTTGGTAGTAAGATAGTTTGAATATTTAATATTTATAAATTAATCAATCGTTTGCCTGATAAACATCTCAATTTTTGTCAAGATTCTTCCGCAAATGCTAAACAGGTTTGGAATAGTTAAGTATGTCAGAGAAGTCTAGAGTTTCAGGTAATTTCATAAGGTATTCTCAGTGAAAGGGAATCTTACATAGACAGATAGATCAATAGATAGATAGATCCACTGACACATGTCGCAGATGAAGCTGCAATTCCATTGTATTTTCAGTTTAGTTGCCAACTTGGGTTGCCAGCAATTATGCTGAACAAAACTGCAATTGCAGAGGGGGCTTTGGATTTGCATTCAGGTTTTTTTTTCTTTTGCCAGTTGCAGCAGTCGGTAGTGAAGGGTGTTCGAACATAATAACAATTGGAAATTAATCAGCAGCTGCTGCTGCTGCTACTGCTGCTGCTCTTAGCCATAAGCCATAACTATGAAAATAAAGGCGGACAAAAGCGTTCCGAGCCACGGAGCAGGCACTTGCCCACTTACTTAGTTACTGTATTTTGCATTGAATTACCAAATAACTAAATAATATTGCTTGATTACGGACTAGAGGGTCGGGTGTTGAGATCGGATGACTGCAGCTATGCTGATTTTAATCACTATCTCATTACGACCAGTTAAGTATAGATGGGGGGTATATCTGCAGCATCGAGGCAGTTCTAACTGGGTACGTGGGAGGTACCTAAGGTAGTTACTAGCTTAGTTGGGTACTAAAGTGTTTGGAAAATATTAAAAAAAAAAATAGTCAAGCCTTTGCTTAAAGAAAAGTAGGAAAAATGCAGATCTCTATGGCTTCATAGTAACTTCTATTTAAATATGTCTAAAAGTATGCAATGAAACTTAGCATTTTGTTTTTAGAATAACTTTCTGAGAAATTTGCACTAAAAATAGTTTGTGGCTTACTTTTAGTCACCTTAAGAAGTGATTTTAAAACAATACTAATAAAAAAAATACTCATGATACTCATTTTTGAAAAAAAGTCCAGGAAAAATGGATTTTTCTCATGAAAAAATCAACTTAATTGCTTTATAAATCAGTATGTTAATTTGTACTTCAAGTATTACCATTACTATAACTTAACTTTATTCAATTTGTAGCTACTTTGTTAGAAATTAGTACCTTTGGCATCTCTGACGTACCTTTTAAACTACTACAGTCGTGCAAAGACCCTAAGCATCTGCAGTCAATGAATGCGCTTTTTGCGGTCTCCCCCCGCCGCGGCATTGTGGCTTTCTGAGTCAAGGCCACAAGCAGGCGTTCACTGAACCCCACTGCCGCCCAACGAAACCCATCATCATCATTATCAACATAATCACAGTGCCCCAGTGTTATTAAAAGTGGCAGCAAAGTGCGATAATTATGGCCACCGTTCAAGAGCAAGAAACGCATCGGAATATCAAACCAAAATCTTCTACAGAAACTAAACTAAAAATGCAATAAAAAATCAAGATAATAATCGCTTTCATTACTTATTTTTTGATAATTGTTTCTACATACATAAGTACAAAGTTTTTAATTGATTCGTGATTGATTACCCATTCCACTCCATCTGGGTGTTCCCCCGCATCAGCTATTTTTCAATTGAATTTTTGTCGTGACATTTGTGGTGTTGTTTTCAAAGTGAAACTTTGTTTCAACTTCGTTTTATTTTACCTTT